GCCAGAGTCCCCCCACACAGCCATTCTCAGGTCCGTCATCCTGAGAGCAGACATCTGAGACGCCAGAGTTGCCCATGCAGCCATCCTCAGGACAGTGATGCCAAGAGCAGCCACCTGAGATGCCGGAGTTGCCCACGTAGCCATGCCTGGCACGACCGTCTCAGAAACACATGATTCAGGGGTAACAAATAAAACAACAAATACCATGAGAACAAAATGCCAACCATGTTGTGAAGAAAACAGTCAAAAACTAGAAAGGATCACAAGACAAATGAAAATAAAAGTGGACATTTTTTCACATTATGCTAAAGAGGTATAGCTGGTGGAATATTAAAATCGTGAATTTCCTATTTTGGTGGCAAGACTTTAAGTTCTTAAACACATGTTGTAAGCCGAAATTCATGTGGAATTCCTTCCTCTATTCCCTAACTGTGCAAGTCTGGGAGGGAAGAGGGTTGTTAGCAAGACTGGGTGAATCATTGCCCATTGGGGCCGACCTTCCCTTCTTACACTGTCAACCCATACCTGGCATTCCAGAGTGACTTAGCCACCTTGCGAATGTCACGTTTACATAGTTACCTCTAACGTGTTCTCCTTTTCAAAAGTGAATTAAGGCATGTTATAATAATTATACATATCTATTTTTATCTACACGCAACATATACATCTATGTACATGTATTTGCCCATACAGGGGTGTGTGTGTGTGTGTGTGTGTGTGTGTGTGTGTGTGTATGCCATATACGTCCTAAATGGACAGTAGCATCCTGTGTACATTTTTGGTGGCTAAGAGAATGGACTCTTAAGTCAGTATACAGATTTGGCTTCTCTCCTCATTAAGGGTGTGCACAAGGTCTGTGTCTCAGTTTAGAGCTAATAATAATAACTAACTCATAGGCTGTTGGGGAAATTACTTACCATAAGCAGAACGGTACTGGACACACAAAAGGCACTAAGAAATGTCGGCGACTCCAGTTACTCCATTCGGGTGGTTGTCTTTTTGTTTCTGTTACCAAGTGAGAGAAGACAGGCCGAGCCCCTACTGAGATGAGGCCTGCACTTGACTCCAGGTTGGCTGAGCTTCTTGCCGGCTAGCACAAAGATGGCAACGGGGATTCTGGGATGGTCCGAGTCCTCTTAAAGATCAGACCACTTTCACACCATCTGCCAATTAGTGGTATATACAGTGTTGCACATGGAAGGAGAAAGAAAAGTTATTATTCACCATATTTGGGCTTCTTGATTTGTTCTTAGACTTGACTTAGAGCATTTGTAACACTTTAAGGGGGAAATTTGTAATCCAATAGGAACCATCACCATCTCATCCCGAGCATTTTTTAGTTAATAAATTTCTGCTAGACAGCACATCTACTTTGATTTGGTTTCATTCTAAGTATAAGTTTTAGTGCTGGAAAAAGAACTTTGAAACTGCATTTCTAATTGCTTTTGTTGGTGACGTCTTCTCCAGCTGCCCTAGTGCTTGTGGTTTAGACCAGTAAGCTCCTGTGGAAGGAATGGATTAGGGCTAAGAGAGCCCGGCCCTGGCTCCACCATTTGTTGACCACAGGGTCTCGAACAATTTACTTTTCCTCGGTGAACATTAGCTGTCTTCTGTAAAATGAGAAGGATAGTAGATTCATAGTTTGTTAGAGCTGGAAACAAGTTTAGAGATCACAGAATTCCCAACAGACATTGTGAAGTACCCATAGGGGTTGGGTGGCTGGCCTGAAGTCACATGAGACTTGTAGCTTGGAGGGAGCAGGGACAGGACTGGAACTCATGTTTTTCTTTCCCTCCTTCGTTCGTTCCTCCCTCCCTCCTCCTCCTCCTCTTCATCCTCTTCCTCCTTCTTCTTCCTTCTTCTTTCTTCCCCACCCCATCCTCCTGTTCTTCCCTCTTCTTCTCTCCTCCCCAACCTCCCTCCCCTCCTCCCTTCTCCTCCTCCTCTTCCTCCTCTTCCTCGTCCTTCTTTTCCTTGTGACAGGGTCTCGCTCTGTCGCTCAGGCTAGAGTGCAGTGGCACAATGACAGACTCAAGCATCCTCCCACCTTAGCCTCCCATGTAACTAAGACTACAGGCATGAGCCACCACGTCTGGCTACTTTTTTTTTTGGAGAGATGGAGTCTTACTGTGTTGCCCAGGCTTCTTCTTTCATAAAATTTGATTTCTGGTCTGTTATAGTACTCTATCTTCCTTAGTATTGAATTTTTTGTATGAATCAAATGGAATTAATCACTCTGAACATTTTACTAGAGGTAAAAGAGATTCATTTCACTTAATGGATACATAATTTAAGAAATTTAGAATGTTGCCTCTAGATGATGTTCACCTTTTGGGGCTTAGTTTTAGAGTGGTCCTGGTACTAGGAGGATGACTTAAATAGCTCTTCAAGAGAGTTACTCAGCACTGTGATTGAACCAAACAATCCAGATTCAAACACAGCTGTAGACTCAACACTCAATGCTGGTTGGTCAGGATGGGGGCTGTGGAGTGAGAAGCGGGAGAAGATGAAGGAAGGGGCAGAGGAATGGTAAGGGGTGATTTAGATGAACTGAAACGGAGTGGGCACCAGCACTGCGCAAAAGCTAATTTCAAAATCAGTGTTCCAGGTTTCCTGCGGCGGCTCTGCACGGCGGCATGTTGCCGTTGGGTGTGCCGTGAGGAGCTGTGCGTGCTGCAGGTGCCAGGTCCCACCCCATGCCTCCCAGAAACAACGCCCAGAATCCAGAATCCAACAGAAATGCCAGCTCCTGGGGGAACCAGAAGCAAACTGTGGCCAGGTCACAGCTTAGCGATGTTTTCTGTTAACCTGCTTTTCTGTGTCTTTCAGATGGCCCCGGAGTGGAAACCCGTAGATTAACAAAACCACCTTTATTATCTATCTGAAGTCCACTTTTCTTCAACCGTGGGGCTTCCATGTCACATATGGACATTTTAACAGCAAGAAAATCACATGTGGGGTGAAACTAAAGCCACACACAGTGGTGTCTTCTCGAAAGCCAAAGATGAGGTTTCCCAGTTGAGCTCCATATTCTTCTTCTTCCCTTTCTCGGTGATATTTCTTTTTAGTAAACATTTTAAAGAATGAAACATAGCTCTTTATCGTTAAGTCCCTAAAAGATCATTCAGAAAATGAGAAGAAGTTGAGAAAACCTGTGTATATTTTCCCTTCATGGTATTTTTTTCCTGGAACGTGTATGGGAAGGTATCTCATTTATGTGTAACTTGGAGGTGGTCACAAAAACAGGTACTGATAACGTTTGCTATGTAAAGGTTAAAGTATAAAAATGTTTTACCTTCTGAATAACTAGTTCAAAGTGAAAAGGAAAAACATCCAGGGTTCGCTGGTGACATGGTTTGGCTGTATGTCCTCACCCAAATCTCACGTTGAATTGTAATCCCCGTGTGTTGGAGGAGGGGGCGGTGGGAGGTGATTGAATCAAGGGGGTGGACTTCCCCCTTGCTGTTCTCCTGATAGTGAGTGAGTGCTCCCGAGACCCAGTTGTTTGAAAGTGTGTATCGCTTCCCCCTTCACTCTCTCTCTCCTGCTCCGCCATGTGAAGAAGGTTCTTGCTTCCCCTTCACCCTTCTGCTGTGATTGTAAGTTTCTTGAGGCCTCCCCAGCCATGCCTCCTGTATAGCCTGCAGAACTGTGAGCCAATTAAACCTGTTTTCTTAATAAATTACCCAGTCTCGGGTAGTTCATTATAGCAGTTGAGAACAGACTTATACAGCTGGGAAAAGGATTTTATTAACTTATTTACTTATTTTTATTAAGGCAAAAAATAGTACCCATGTGGCTTCATTAGACCATGTGTGTACATGTGTGTGTGTATGTGTATGTACACACGGCCTAATATATATATTTATCCCTCCCAGGGATGCACACACATATATAATCTACCAGTCTGGGGAGATTTAACAGTCTTTCTTTAGCAAAGATTTTAATTTCAGCAAATTATGTGTGCCTTCAGTTTGCTCTGTTTGTCTTAGGAATTTGAAGAGTGTTTTGCTGAGACACACTTATAGCTTTTAGCTCTCTATTTTGTTTGTATTCTAGTCATATATAAAGATGGTGTAGATTGTTTACCTTTATGTTTTGGTAAAAATTTATGTGCTATCAACAAGGTTAAATGTTCACAATAGAAACTTAAATGTCTTCATCTCCAAGGCACTGAACATTGTCATATGAAAAGCTTAAATGTATTTACTGTTATATTTATTGTTACAATAGTTTTAACTATTGGCAGCAGGATCAGTAGTTTCAACTTATATTTTTGCTGATGCTTAAAAGTGTTTTAGAAGTTGGTCTGCCTTACAATTTATTTTTATTTAACTCCAAGTGTTAACTGTCTAGATTGTTCTGAAACTTATATGGACTTTTGAAAACAGCCAGATTTTATGTATTGTGTGGACCCATTTCCAAAATCTTTAAAGACTTTCAATAGCTTACAACCCGTGTTCATATATTCTAAATTCAACTAGTCTATACGGGAGCTTTTTTCTCCCGTAATTTTATTTGTTGGAATTGTTCAGGATTGTTGTATTAATTCCCAAAACCTCAATCAGTAATGCCATAGCCCCAACACAAGTTGAAATTTCTTTTTTAATTGCACCCAAGTGGCTTCAGATCTCAAGCACTTGAGAACGTTGGAAGGCTTTTAGGAATGTTTCTGTAACTTTAAAAGATACAAAGCCCCTTTTGTTTCTCTTTTAATAGGATGGTTAAAATTGGTGCATGTTTGTGTGAAAGAGATTGTTAAAATGGGAAAGTCTTTTTGTCTTCTCAAAGCCAGCCTGTGGAGCAGGTTTGAATGCTGTTGCATGTATTCCTGCTCTGGTCAGCCTACCACATGCTCACTAACAAAAACTTGCAGAGAATTAACTTTCTTTTGAGTTGCAAAAACACTGAGAACCATAGACACAATATTTCTCCCTAACGCAGCTCATTTGCTATTTTCTTCAGTTTAACGAACGTCTCTACATAATGCCTGTATCTGAAAGCATTGCTGTGTCACTTTACCGATTTCATCGAAATTATACAGATTCCACTCTGCACCGAGGAGTTGGTGGGTAAGAAACCAACTTGCAACTTTGGGTTTATACTTGAGCAGGCATTTGCAATAGCACATTTTTTGAGTCATTTTTCTGTTTCATCAACCTTTTATTTTTCATGGAAGGGCAGTTTAAAATACGGGAAATCTTATTACCATGTTAGCTTCTTACAAGATGACCATCAGAAAGATTTCCCACAGAGACTGAGGCTGCAGAGTGCCTGGTTTTCCAACACGATTATGTCTGGAATCTGTTACCCTCCTCCTTTCAGTTGCCTGGTATGTTTGCTAGGTGCTTTCAATTCAATTATTATCAGATAATTATTTCATTCAGATATTATTTCAATCCAATTATCTGTTAATTGAATGAATAGAAATGGAATAAGATGTAAAGCTATGTTGGTATAAACTTTAATTATTTCAGAAATTATTTCAATATTTTAGTGCCCACCAACAGGCCGTATATGAAAAACGCAATTGTATTTTCAGGAATTAACTTGATGGCTAAATTAGAGAAGGTTGGTGAAAGTCACATATAAACTGTTTTTGTTCTTGTAATTTTATATTCAGAACAATGAATGGTTTATTTTTACTGGTTGTTCACTTTTTGAAACTATAATTTGAATCAATCATCTGATTGATGTGTGCCTCTGCAGTGCCCCATGGAGTATTTTGTTTGTCCCTCAAAAGAAGAAAATGATGAGCAAGACGTATAAGAGCGCTATGTTCACAGAATTCATATTCTAGAAGGAGAGAGAAAAGGTAGCTGGGTCTCAGGAACAGTGCAGTCCAGTTCCCTCTTGGCTTAGTTCTCAATGGGATTAAATAATCAGCCTCACTCTAGTTTATCAGAAAAGGGAGACTCCTCCCTGGAGGAAGATATCATTGTCTTAAATACAATGCCTTGCATTCAATGAAAGATTGTTAGGTATGATGAGACACAGGAATACATAACTGAAAATCAAGAGACTAAACAGACAAGAGAAACACAAGTGAGGCAGCAATCACACAGGCGTACAGATGTTAACAAAAATAATTTTAAAATGACAATAATATATTCAGGAAGATAGAGGGAAAATGTAGAGACTTTCACTGAAGAAGGAGGATCTGCACAAAAGGATCAAGAAGAAATTTTAGAACAGACACATATGATATCTGAAGATAACTATAAATGGAGGTGATGACATACCAAACACAGAAGAAAACAGGATTAGTAAACTGGTAAACAGATCAATAGAAAATATCCAAACCAAACACAGAAAGAGACAATAAACAGAAAATACCCAAGTGAATATAAGGTACGTGTGAACATCGTGAAAAGGCTTAATATAGATGAAATTGGAGCCCCAGAAGGAGAGAAGAGAGAAAATGTGGCAGAAGAACAAATAAAACTTTGGGAGAAATTATCCTATGAATGTAGCAGGGAGATGGGGCAGTAGCTGGACCAAGATATGGGATCTCAAGATAGGGTTTTCAATTTCCCTTAGCTTCCTCTTCTTCTTTTTGTCTTCTCTCAATGATTGATACTAGAACATGTTGTAGGCAATTACTAGAATGATATGCCACAGAAAGAGTGAGATTTTCTATTCTTAAGAAAGCCACAGGGACAGGATATAAGAACATGTGGAGGGAGGGCTGTATGGACACTTGGTACTACTGCTGTTTGAACAGGACAGAATGAGATATACTGTTGCAGGCACGGTCATAGGTTAGATGGTGGTAATCTCTCTGGTTGCTTTCACATTTTCAAATGAAGCATACAGTCATGTCAGCCATTGAGAGTAAAGAGAGGATGTAACAGATTTTAAAAGAGAGCAAATGGTATGCAATAAAAGGTTAAGTAAACTTTTAAGAAAAATGGACAATGATGAGTGCCAATTTAAAAGTTATAGCTTAAGATTTTGTTACTGGAAAGCAATCTTGATCCAGACCCCAAGAGAGGGTTTTTGGATCTTGCACAAGAAAGAATTCAGGACCAGTCCACAGTGCAAAGTGAAAGTAAGTTTACTAAGAAAGTAAAGGAATAAAAAGAATGGCTATTCCATAGGCAGAGCAGCCCCAAAGGCTGCTGATTGCCTGTTTTTATGATTATTTCTTGATTATACGCTATTAACAAAGGATGAATTATTTATGCCTCCCCTTTTTAGACCACATAGAGTAACTTCTTGATGTTGCTGTGGCATTTGTAAACTATCATGGTGCTGGTGGGAGCGTAGCAATGAGGACGATCAGAGGTCACTTCACTCTTGTTGCCATCTTGGTTTTGATGGGTTTTGGCCAGCTTCTTTACTGTAAACTGTTTTATTGGCAGGATCTTTATGACCTGTATCTTGTGCCAACCTCTGATCTCATCCTGTAACTTAGAACGCCTAACCATCTGGGAATGCAGCCCAGTAGGTCTCAGCCTCATTTTACTCAGCTCCTATTCAAGGAGTTGTTCTTGTTTGAATGCCTCTGACAAATTAAAAAGAAAAAATGGAAGGGAAAATAAGGATGATAAGTTCATCAAGTTGGAAAATGAGAGAGCACTCTTTGAGACAAAGTTGGCAATCTTAGAGGACAGCTTAGGGAGGCATGAAAGAGAATATGTGATATTTTCAGGTCTCAGGAAATATTTTAATAATGAAGGCTAGGGTTGATAGTTATAAAATTGCTTTTAAAATATAAGACTAGGAAAAAGATTGTAAGTTGCTATTATATCAGGAAAAATGGTGGGACCTAATGAAGTACAACATATGAAGAGAAAGTTTAAGGGGATAAGATAGATTACTTCTTTAAAGGGGTTCTTGAGTGAAGAGCCTCTTGGAGGACACTCCTTGAAGCCGCTGGCGTGGAGTCAGTAGTAAGTACTGTTGGACATCATCTTTTAAAGACTTAGGATTATATCAAGTTAGACTTGAGAGGACCGAGACACTAAGAATAGAGTACTTCAAGTATTATTCCATGAATTGAACATGATACAATATTTTAGGAAGGGCATCAGATTTAGCATTTGCCCTTGGAAAATATGCATGGATAGTTTATAGACTTAGGTCT